TCCTGTGTGTGCAATTACTTTCATATTCGTCCCAGGGCATGCAGGCGTTGTTAGTAATGAGAGAGCTGATAGACTGACAGGTACTGCATTAATTGAAGTGGCCGGCCCATGGATCATTGTCATTGCCCTTAGAGAGATAGGACTTTCTGAGGATTTTCGAAGCAACATGTCCACATCACTTCTAAGAAATACATGAACTGGGAGTAAAGATCGGCACAGCCAAGCATGAGAAGCACACTGGACGCACACAAAGTCTTGTTTACCAGCATAGGTCTTGTACTATCAACAGCACGACGCTGGTGAATATGTTGAGAGGGGAATCTGAGCGCCTATGGATGTGTCTGGAGTGCTGTAAAGATAACCTAACTCATAACTTATGCAATATATACTTGTACTGCCTACTATTGCTGACAGGCTCAAAGTTCAGAGTAGCTGCAGACAAGAAGCACCTCCTGCAAGAAAGCCCTGGGTAGATCTAAGGGTCACTGACTGAAAAGAGGAAGGTCTTGGATGGCGCAAGCTGAAGACACAATTAGACATGTGTGACTATCTTCATGCTTATAGACCATTGTTCCTACCTTCTGCTATTATTCTTTCCATTCCACAATGGTGCTTGATATGGCCAAAATATTTCAATTTCTGAGAGAATATGGTGTTTACTAGCCAATCTTTCTTGATGTTTAGATCTTTTAGGATGTACTCTCTATATTAATCACCTGAGTCTCATTCTCTTCTACATGTTGGGCTTAGATGTTCCTCTATATTTTGTGATCCATAGAAATGGTTCTCAAATTGTTTGATATTCTTCCCTAGAGAGTGCAGGAACAATCCAGTGGGAGGTTTTCTAATCTGCTATGTAATTTGGGTGCTTTATTTATTAAATATACAAATAATGAGCTAGTGAAGCATTTCTTCTGTGATCTACATTGCCAGATATTTGACTGTTGGCAAGTAAACTGCAAATTATTTGTTTAAGCAAGAGAACAGCAGATTATTCATTTAGTATGTCTAGTTCCTGGTTTCAAATATTATAAGAAATACAAGGGGAAGTCAATAAGTAAGTCACAAATGGCTGTTTAGAAATGGTTGTCCCATCGTTTTATTAGTCCTCCCAAACCTGCTGCACAGATCTATGTGCTCTCTCTTCTAAGCCACATTTTCACTTCACATTCAACTTCTGGGTCATTCGCGAAATGTTTCCCGACAAGGTGGGTTTTCAGTGGACCAAAAAGGTAGAAATCGCTAAGGGCTAAGTCAGGGTTGTACGGTGGATGTTCCAGAAGTGCCCACCCTAGATAGTTAATTTTCTCCTGAGTTAACTGAGCCGTATGTAGTCTGGAATTATGAAGGAGCAATAATCTTCTATTCAGCAGGCCTGGAAGTTTTCTTCAAATTGCATCATGGAGCATCAATAAAACTTTACAGTATAAATCAGCATTCACACTGTCACCTCTTTTTAAATCACAGAACACTGTCAGCCTTCTCTGCTGATGGTGTAACCTTGAATTTGTTAACATAAGGCCAAGAAGAATGTTACAATTCCACTGAAGCACACTTTGTTTCTGGCTGGTAGTGATACACCCATGATTCGTCCCCAGTAATAATCCTGTTCAGTATGTCTTTTGCTTTATCTGCTTTTTGACAGAGATGCTGCAAGGACAGGCCTAACTGGTTTATTTTGTGCTTGTCCATCAATTGTCTGGGTACCTACCTTGAGCCCACTTTCTTAAATTTTAGTTGATCATGCATTATATTGTATGCTGAACCATGTGAGCACCCTATTGTCAGTATAAACACGTTGCATTTCCTTATGAATGTCCTCTGCAGGAAGCAATTTTGCCCCCTCCACCCCCCCCACACACACACACACAAAACGCACATCAGTACATTGCTCTTAGAGGTTACACTCCGTAAGTACAGCCGTCATTTAATTTCTGTGCATGCAACACCTAGCGCCATCTAACGAACAGAGACATAAAGTTCGATGTTGCTGTCACATAATGACACCTTTAGAAACCACCAACTACATTTTCCTGCCATCCCATAACCACGTGTGACTTACTTTTCGAATTGCTCTCATTTAAAGTAAATTTACATTCTAAATGCATTTTAAAACATATTTTTAAATGAAATGTGATGTCTCATAGATAATGAAAATTAACAAACTATATTTGAAGCTCTGATAAAGAGACCAGGTGCTTCAAATTATGATAAGCAATGTACAATAAGTCCTATGAGTCATGAAAAAATATTACTGAGAATAATAATGAGAGAGGTAATTTAACTGATCAAGCAAACTCAAAGAACAGACCGAAAACTGCATCGGATAAAATAAAGAACATTTTGTGCAATTAATAACTATCAGTTGCTTGAAGAATCTTTCAATCAGGAAACAAAAATAAATAACAACTACAGACAAACATAAAAATAACACAAAAGCTCCCTTAGGACATAATAACTTGCAATGAACATGAAACAAGCAGAATGAAATGAAACTACCTACTTTACTAAACAAAAGCAAATAATTTCAAATTAGAGCCAGAATTTACAGGCAGCATAAGATAAACGATTTCTGATCACAACGAAAAAAGGCAAGCAAAAGAAGGTAGCTATGTAGTCAACTACAAGACAGGGGAGCCAGAAAGGTTCAAAATATGTGCATGTTTGTTTGTTTGGAACAAACAAAAAAACAAAAAAAAAGAATGAAGCTATGATGAATCGATAGTAAATGTTTTCAATTATAATTATAAATGATTCACAAAGCAGGAATGATTCACAACATTACCGAGTATATATGTGTGAGTGTGTGTGTTTGTGTGTGTGTGTGTGTGTGCATCACTGTGCATATATGTGTGAATACAACTGTGTTTGGGTGTGCATCACTGTGTATACATGTGTAAGTACAGCTCTGTGTGTGTGTGTGTGTGTGCATCACAGTGCATATATGTACGAGTACTGCTGTATGTTTGTGTGCATCACTGTGCATATATGTGTGAATAAAACTCTGTGTGTGTGTGTGTGCATCACTGTGTATACATTGTGAGTACAGCTGTGTGTATGTGAGTGTGTGTGTGCATCACTGTGTATACATGTTTGAGTAGAGCTGTTTGTGTGTGCATCACTGTATATACATGTGAGTACAACTAGTGTGTGTGATTATGTGTGTGTGTGCATCAATGTGTATACATGTTTAAGTACAGCTGTGTGTGTGCATCACTGAGTATACATGTGTGAGTACAGCTGTGTGTGTGTGCATCACTGTGAATAAATGTGCGAGTACTGCTGTGTATATATGTGTGTGTACAGCTGTGTCCAGGCAGCCATGGTGGCAGAGTGGTTAGAAGTTTACCTGCCGTCACAAAGGTCGGGTCTGAATCTGTATCCTGGTAAATTTTGTTTAAATTGTGTGTTCCAAATCTGACCTTGGCTCCCAGGCTTAGCCAACCTATAATGGGTAGCAGTTGATGTCCTAGGAAGTAAAGGCGGCCAGCATGATGACAGCCATCAAGTGCCAGCTGGTATATACAAATATGAGTCTGACACTTTATTCCTGATAAATCACTGGTCTAAAAAGGGTAGCCTACTTTTACAAAGACATTAAGATGTCATTTGACAGTGTACAACATAGAGATGGTTGACAGTGTACAACATAGAGATGGTTGACAGTGTACAGCATAGAGATGGTTGACAGTGTACAACATAGAGATGGTTGACAGTGTACAACATAGAGATGGTTGACAGTGTACAACATAGAGATGGTTGACAGTGTACAACATAGAGATGGTTGACAGTGTACAACATAGAGATGGTTGACAGTGTACAACATAAGATGGTTGACAGTGTACAACATAGAGATGGTTGACAGTGTACAACATAGAGATGGTTGACAGTGTACAACATAGAGATGGTTGACAGTGTACAACATAGAGATGGTAGTATGTCATTTGACAGTGTACAACATAGAGATGGTAATGTGTCATTTGACAGTGTACAACATAGAGATGGTAATGTGTCATTTGACAGTGTACAACATAGAGATTGTAATGTGTCATTTGACAGTGTACAACATAGAGATGGTAGCGTGTCATTTGACAGTGTACAACATAGAGATGGTGATATGTCATTTGACAGTGTGCAACATAGAGATGGTGATATGTCATTTCACAGTGTGCAACATAGAGATGGTGATATGTCATTTGACAGTGTACAACATAGAGATGGTTGACAGTGTGCAACATAGAGATGGTGATATGTCATTTGACAGTGTACAACATAGAGATGGTTGACAGTGTGCAACACAGAGATGTAATATGTCATTTGACAGTGTACAACACAAAGATGGTGTGGTGTCACTGGACAGTGTACAACATGGAGATGGTAATATGTCATTTGACAGTGTACAACACAATGATGGTGTGGTGTCACTGGACAGTGTACAACATAGAGACATGTCATATGTCATTAGACAGCATTCAACACCAGCGACATTGATGTGTCATTGGATAGTGTACAACACTGAGAAAGTGATTTGTCATTGGGCAGTATTTAATGTCAAGACAGTGATATGTCAAAGGAGAGTATACAACACCAAGACACTGGTGTGACATCTGAAAGTACAAACACATAGATGGTGGGGTGATATCTGAAAGTACAGAACACATAGACAGTGAGGTGACATCTGAAAGTACAGAACACATAGACAGTGGGGTGACATCTGAAAGTACAGAACACATAGACAGTGGGGTGACATCTGAAAGTACAGAACACATAGACAGTGGGGTGACATCTGAAAGTACAGAACACATAGACAGTGGGGTGACATCTGAAAGTACAGAACACATAGACAGTGGGGTGACATTTGAAAGTACAGAACACATAGACAGTGGGGTGACATTTGAAAGTACAGAACATATAGACAGTGGGGTGACATCTGAAAGTACAGAACACCTAGACAGTGGGGTGACATTTGAAAATAAAGAACACATAGACAGTGTGTGTACCTTGGTCTTCTACATCCAAGTTTCTCATCATCCAGCTGACCAAGTCTTGACCTAGTGAAACAAATCACACATTAGTCACCTGGTCTACAGGGAAACAGTATTTTCATGTAAAAAGTAATTGCAGCACCATCATACAGAGTGAGAGAGAGAGAGAGAGAGAGAGAGAGAGAGAGAGAGAGAGAGAGAGAGAGAGAGAGAGAGAGGGGGGGGGGGGGGGGGGGAGGGAAAGGGAAAGAGATGCCTTTAGTAAATCTTTATAGACACATCATGTGACTGGGTTATTTCTGTTTCTCAAGGATTGCAGCATGCTGTTTCTCAAGGATTGTAGCATGCTGTTTCTCAAGGATTGCAGCATGCTGTTTCTCAAGGATTGCAGCATGCTGTTTCTCAAGGATTGCAGCATGCTGTTTCTCAAGGATTGCAGCATGCTTAAGTACAAGATTCTACAGGGACTTTATAGCAAATTTTTACAAAATATGGAAACACAGGTGTGTGGGATTTGAGTCATGTTCTCAAGGTTAATGAATCTTTTAATGTTCAGGTAGAATTTTGGTGTAGGCAATTGTAATGTTATAATTTACATAATGTAACTTCATTTCACATTTAACTTCTTGTGCATCTTCAAAGATGCAAGTAAAGATAGAGCTTTGTCTGTGAGTGTTTACACTTGTAGAGACAATTAAAGACATATCCTCAAATGGATATGACTTTATTGTCTTGCAAGAAACACTTCTTGTCAAAGAGATAGACTCGCGGGTTTTCACTGAATTTAACTTTTTTGTATTTCTCTCTCTGTTCACATGCATGCATGTACGCACACACACACACACATGCACACATACACACACACACACACACACTCATGCATGCACTCTCATATACACATACACCACACTAACTAAATATAGTTAGTTTAGATATATAGGTTAGGTTAGTTGCGTATCCTTTACAGGACGTTGCAGAACCAAACCCAACAGTCCCTGGCTGTTGTGTGGTTTTTCTAGGCAAATTTACGTCCAGTAGTTTGCCATTGCCTTTTGGACGGTCAGCTTTCTGGATACCACTGTTGAAACCAGCACAAGGCGCATGGTCCGCAGCTGGGATCGAACCCGGCAACCCAGCATTACGAAGCTTTCGCATCGACTTAGCCACAGAGCCGACATAGTTTAGGTATAGTTGGTTTATATAATAAGCTGGTCACATTGTTATATCAAAAGTGTATATCTGACTTCTGGCCAAAATGGTTGATACTTGACTAACTAACTAATTAACTAGTTAGTATATCTGAACACAAAGTTAAATGAACGCAGTTAGTGTATGTGAACATAAGACTGAATGAACACAGTAGTGTATGTGAACATAACACTGAATAAATACAGTTAGCGTATGTGAACATAAGACTGAATAAGCACAGTTAGTGTATGTGAACAAAACACTGAATAAATACAGTTAGTGTATGTGAACATAAGACTGAATGAACACAGTTAGTGTATGTGAACATAAGACTGAATGAGCACAGTTAGTGTATGTGAACATAAGACTGAATGAGCACAGTTAGTGTATGTGAACATAAGACTGAATGAACACAGTTAGTGTATGTGAACAAAAGACTAAATGAAAACAGTTAGTGTTTGTGAACATAAAACTGAATGAATACAATTAGTCTGTGAATATAAGACTGAAAGAATGCAATTAGTCTGTGAATATAAGACTGAATGAATACAGTTAGAGTATGTTAACATAAGATTGAATAAATACAATTAGTTTGTGAACATAAGATTGATTAAACACAGTTAGAGTCTATGTGAAGACAAAGTTGAATGAATGTAGTTAATGTATGTGAACATAAGCTGACTGAATACAGTTGGTGCATATGAACATAAAGTATCAGCATGTATATGTGAACATAGACATGGAACATACCAGTGAAGACACTTGGAACTTTGGACATAAAGCTCTTGACTGTTCTCACAGGAACCCCAGTGCTTTCATCTTGCATACGTTCTATAATGGTCTCCATCTGAGGAGTGGGGAGATCAGATCAATCAACATTTAGCTGTCAATCATTAAAAAATGTTTCATCAACAGTGTGCAAATTACAATCACTTTCAGCCAAATACATTTACTGAAAACACTACAGGAAAATACAATGAACAAAAAACAGTAATATGATTACAAAGAAACGTGGTGCTTGGGGTAAATATACTGAAATGAGCTTACTGCAGTAAAACTAAAAATAATGAAAAACATGAAGAGTGTTTTTTATATTTAACAAAACAAAATTAAAACAGACATGCAGAGGACATGGCAACACGCCTTTATCAGCAAAAAACAATCTGAGGACATGGCAACACGCCTTTATCAGCAAAAAACAATCTAATTCTTATTCCATTCTTAAATTTTCTTTCAAACAAGTAATTGATGTTGCATGCATGCAACCATCAACAAGTTCCCAGTCTGAGAATAGCAGATCATTCACTTTTATTACAAAGGACATACAGGAGGAGTTGGAAGGTGTAGAAAAAGGGATGATTAGCCACTGAACCAGCAATGGAACAACATACCAGGACACAAACAAGAGAAACAATACAAGAACTACCTATACAATTACTTGACATTATTATGGAATGGGATTCTTCTTCAAAGTAGTAGTCTTCATTTTCCTCCTCTACCACCTACCTGTGCCAGCAACTATCAAGCACAAAAGTTACGCTGCATATTTTATATTTTTCTCACAGGTAAATATTTAAAAAAAAAAATAATTTTTTAAATATATATTTCTAGGACGGGCGAACGGATTCATTGGATTTGCACTGATTTTAATGGGAAACTGTTTTAGGTCACGAACATTTCTAATCGCGAATGAAGTCTAGGAAAAAAATCAATGTGTAACCCGAGGTACCACTGTATACAGATACAGAAAACGGAAGAGTTAATGTTGAGGAAAAGAAAGATTATAATCTCCATCTAATAACCAAACAAAATAACAGGCCCAGCTTCCGCTCTTTATAATAGGGCATTCCTTTCTTCCCACATTTAAGCCTTCTAAAATGGATTCATGTTTTGTAAAATTGATCGCCATATGCTTGGCCAATTAGCATGCAATGACCACAAACCGAAAAACTCTGAATAATATAAATATTCATAGGGCCAGGAGGAAATCCAAGATCAGCAACATGAAGCTGTCATCATTCACATTAGAAAACGGTGAGTGGATCAAACCAGCATGCTCAACTACACACCAATTAGCTGCTCAGTTTCAAGAGCAAGGCCATAGGCAAAATGGTGAACTGCTGATTACTGAAACACCTTGAACAGTAGTATGTGCTAGACAAATGTATCATAGATTACTGAACCACCTTGAAAAACATGTGCTAGACAAATGTATTGTAGATTACTGAAACACCTTGAACAACAACATGTGCTATTCAGATTATGGAAACACCTTGAACAGGAACATGTGCTAGACAAATGTACAGCAGATTACTGAAAAACCTTGAACAACAACATGTGCAAGACAAATATATTGCATACTACTGAAACACCTTGAACAACAACATATGCTAGACAAATGTATTCAGATTATGGAAACACTTGCAACATGTGCAAGACAAATATATTGCAGATAACTGAATCACCTTGAAAAACATGTGCAAGACAAATATATTGTAGATTACTGAAACACCTTGAACAACAACATGTGCTAGACAAATATATTGCAGATTACTGAAACATCCTGAAGAAACATGTGCTAGACAAATGTACTGCAGACTACTGAAACACCTTGAACAACATGTGCTAGACAAATGTATTGTAGATTACTGAAACATTTTAGACAACAACATGTGCAAGACAATTATATTGCAGGTTACTGAAACACCTTGAACAACAACATGTGCAAGACACATATATTGCAGATTACTTAAACACCTTGAAAAAACAAGTGCTAGACAAATATATTGCAGGTTACTAAAACACCTTGAAAAAACATGTGCAAGACGAATGTATAGCAGATTAGTCAAACACCTTGAACAACAACATGTGCTAGACAAATGTAGTGTAGATTACTGAAACACCTTGAACAACATATGCTAGACAAATGTACCGCAGATTACTGAAACACATTGAACAGCATTATGTGCTAGACAAATGTATTGCAGATTACTGAAACACTCTCAACAACATGTGCTAGACAAATATATTCTGGAAAACGACTGAACTATGTTACAACTTATTTTTTGTTTTGTTTTGCTTGTAAATTTAAAGACATGTTCAGAATTGTTAGGTTTTTGTGGCTATAGTTTTTTTTTTAATGAATGATAATGAGCCAACATCAAACCCAACTGACTGAAATATAGAAATACAATATAACAAGGTAACATGAGCTTTCAGAGTTCTAGGAAATCTGTGGAGGGCAAAGGAAATGAAAACTAGTACCACACTTGTTTTGTTTTTTAAGGACAGGGTAAGTGCTCTCCCTATGAACTGTATAGGTTAGGAATGTGCCAAATACATAAACAATACACAATGAGGACAGAGTGCCATGTTCATTTATGTGTGCTTTCTAGACAACAGTATTAGTGCCAGCTGAGTATTCACAACACAACTGATCTGCATTGCACTCCAAGTTAAACGAGTTCATAAATGATGATATGAAGTGATATGATATGAACTTTCAAACTGAATTCATCATTTCGCATTCAGAGAAAGTCTTTTGCTCACATCTATTTCTCCTTCTTATCTATTCTCTTCAATAAATCAGTCTACTTGTGTAGTCTACTTCAGAAACATCATGCAGCCTGCTATTGATCATTACTGATTTCAGCAGCTCGACTAGAATGATCTATATAGAACTTGCCAGTTGTTCAGTTTCTCATTCATAATAGTACACTTGGCTCTTCTCAGCTGGTTTGATTTGATTTGATTCAAGAACCGACATCACAGCACTCGGGGCATTCCCATAAGCGCTCCGTCCCGATCTTCAGCAGCCAGCGAAGAGTTCCTATACTAATGGTGCCAGGAGCATTCTGATTAAACGTCCGTCTTGCCTTTCCTCTGAGCCTCAAGCATTTGCCAGAACCTCTCATCACTCCCCGCTGCATCAATCTCACCAGACTGTGGTGATCCATCTGCTGCACTGAACTGTACACGCTCTCCTACAAGGCACTGACCACCTCTGCCCTATCATGTATCAGTATTCCACCAAGTTGTGCAGAGCAAGCCAGTCTGTCTGCTTGTTTATTTCCCAACATACCGGCATGCCCCGGTTAAAAAATCCAGACAATACTCCTCACCCGTGTCCTCTGCAGCGAAGCATGCCACTCTGCACAAAGCATACCTGTTCTGATCTTCCTCAGCATGCTTTCTGAGTCAGTTACAATCAGGATGTGTGTGTCTGTCGAGTTCTCTAACCAGCGGAAAGCTGCAGTGACCACCTCCATCTCCATTCTCAAGCTGGATGTTGTGGTATCATATGCTGGGCTCTCCTGCACCAAATGTCGACCACTAAATTTGGCTAAGAAGCCCCAAGCACTTCTTTTGCCTCTTGACACTGAACCGTCTGTGTAAAACTGAGCTAGTTAACAGATAAACACCTTTCTTCCCTGCAATGATCTTAGCCAGTATTGTCAAGCCATAAAACAACACTGGCATAATATAAATGTTCTCTGGTTGATCGTAAAGCCCATGTACAAAAACATCAGCTAGAGAAACGGACAAATATTCGAGTACACACAGGTGATTCTTATTTAGTATTGGCACAGTTGGGACACTGATCATAATTCTGTACACATTTATTTCAGATCAGCTCATGCTGAGCTGTGCATCCTATCTATTGCCATCTCCTGCGCTCCCTGCACATCTTTCCCACGTTCATAATCATCATAAACTACTTGTGCCATTAAGCACTGTGGGCAGAAATATTTGTGATATAGTGCACGTCGGCTGGCACTGGCTACTTCATGCATAAAGTGTCTGTAATATTGCTGAACCATTTTTGTTGTCTATCCTCTTGCTCTTGTAACTGATCTTCTGAGATGTAGTGCCTGTGATGGCATCTGATGTTTTTGTTGAGATGACCAAAGCACCTGATCGGCTGTTTCTCAAAGAATCTAGTACAAGGTATTGTTCCCACAATCTGCCTGATAGTATCATTATCTCTAATGGTCAGGTAGCGGCTCCTTTTGTCAGGCATCTAATATCCCAAGGAGTGATTCTGTGTATATGGGCTTTAGATAATGTAAATATTTGGCACTGATAGTTCAATGATGGTATGTATGCTGTTCATAGTTTGTTTATTTGTTTCAAAGACATATTCCTTCCCCTGCACACAGACGATATCAAAAGTATGGTCTAGAACACCCTTATTTGACACAACTGCGAGCTGACAGATTTCCATCACAATGGATTGTTCCCTTTGTGTCCTCATGTAGTAACCTGATCGATTGCAGGAATTCAGAGGACAGTCTATTTAAGAAAAGTCCTTCAACGCTGACAAGGTGAAATCAGTGTACAAAGGTATGTTCTGCTTCAAGAATATAAATATGTGAGAAAACAGAAGAGAGCAAATTTATTTCAGAACAATCAATATTCCAGCATTGCTACTGGTAGATAAGTATCGATTCCATACAGGATTTCAATTTGTAATCATTCCAGGGATGCAGTCAATCGAGGTTAAAAAAAAAAAACTAGGAATATATTAAGAGCTACCTGTCCTGCATGTTAACATGGATCTTTGGACATGAGCTGACACGAAAAAGGAATGAAAAGATTTAACCATGTTCATAAATAAAGAGTTGAAAATGAAAAAAAGTCAAATGTGACCTTGAACTGTCACCAGACTGATTATGGGTATTTCAACACTTAATGAAACACTGCCATGTGTAAACTATAGACTTCCACACCGGGTGATTTCTTTTTTGTGTGTCATATATTTATTTTCGTGTCAGAATTCTCGGAAAGTGAGAGTAGGAAGCATCTTGATACATTATTTTGAATTGTTGTTGGTCTGTTGTCAGTAAT